GTTACATGGTTTTCAGCCGTTGTCCGGATAGAAGTTATTTTTCTGATGCCTTTAAATGATGTAATCAAAGTATTTTTATCAACACATTGCGTCTGTTAAGAACACAACAAAGACGTGAGGTTCACACTCCCAAAATCGAAATAAAAACAATGCAGAGAATATTTTTATTTTATAAATTACTTATGTAAATAAGTAAGATTTATGTATGATTTTCTTTGACAGATGTTTATACTGAATTACCAAAATATCAGATGGAAAATAAACAAGTGTATCTGTACGTCTGTCTGTGATCATTTTAAGACAAATGCGACACACTTGAAATAATACACACTATGTTAGAGAAGCTCACTTTTTATTTAAAAATATGGAAAAGACAGTTTAACATTTTACGAATTCAGAGAGTGTTTTTGCTCCATCATTAGTCAGTACATGAAGTCTGTCTCAGCATGTTGAATCATTACAATAATTTACACACCTAAAAATCACATACATTTTTCATGAGGTAGAGGTCTACCGTATTACATAAGGAGGGTTTCATTTCCTAACTGGGAAAGTGGGCAATGTAGAGTCCACTGATAAAGTCACGCCTACCGTGACAAGTGTGCCACTGTACGTGCTATGAATTATTGTATTAACTATGGCATTGCTTATCAGCACAATATTTTTCAGCACTTATAAAGGCAAGAAATCTCTTCAGGGAATAAGACGAATGAATATGAAATCATGGAGCGAACAAATACAATTTCACACAAACAAAAAAGCAACTGCTTTATTTAAAACATTTAATGAAATCAGAAATGTCTATAAGGCTACGTTACAGTTCCATACAAACAGTTCTCAGTGCATAGCCATACAAAGCAGTCTTCAAAGTGATAACATTAAAAACCTTGTTTTCAAGCACACACAAACGCAATCATTTCAAAGCCTGGTCCCCGCGCAGTAAACTCTCACTTCCAACAAACTGAAAGTTGAATTCATATTCAAGTCGTGAAGGTGCTGAGGTCATGTGTACATGGCTCCATGTAGATCCTCTAGTCTGTGTTCTCTTTGCCTTCTCCGTTCCTGTAAAAACAAACAAACACACTAAACACTCAGGTATATTCATAAGGTGTCACAGAAGAATACAATGAATGAATTACAGAAATAATAATGACATTAAACAGAAAACAGATATTTTACCTTGTCTTTTTTGAACTCCTCATAGTCTGGATTGTCAGTGGGTAGTTCAAGTCGACACAAGGGACATGAATTGGTCTGTAATGTTATGTGGAAACACTTATGATTATGCCAAACATGAAATATTATCCACATCCCTAAGTTTGGGGTTGGTAAGATTCTTTCATGTTTCTGAAAGAAGTCTCTTATGCTCACCAAGGCTGCATTTATTTAACAAAAATACAGTACTATGGTGAAATATTATTATAATTTAAAGTAAGTGTTTTCTGTTTTAATATATTTCAAAATTGCATCTATTCTTGACGGCAAAGCTGAATTTTCAGCAGTCATTACGCCAGTCTTCAGTGGCACATGATCCTTCAGAAATCATTCCAATATAGTGATTTGCTGCTTAAAAAACATTTCGAATTGTTATCAGTGTTGAAAACTGTTGTGCTGCTCGATATTTTTTGTGGAAACGGTGATAGGTTTTCTTCAGGATTTGATTGATAGAGAGTTTGATTAATACGGTTTACAATACAATACAAATTAAACACTGTTATTGTCCCTTTTAATCAACTGAATGCATTTTTGCTTACCGGAGGATCATAGAGAAAATAAAACCACTAAACATACCTTACTGAGCCAAGGCATGATGCATCCCGTGTGGAACAGATGTTTACAGGGCATCTCTCTCACAGTCTCTTGCTCCTCAAACTCCAGTAAACACACCGGACACTTCAGTGCTTTATCTGTCAAATGAAAAAAGAGCTAGAGGAAAGCTCAAGAAGAATGATAGTCATGGACACCAAGGATTCAAGACCTTCTAATTCAATCAAACTTGCTGCCAATGCCAAACACAATAAAGCATCGATTACCAATTATCCTGTTGCTAATGTTCCTCTGTGCAATGATGTCCTCTCTATGAATGTGTTTGCAGATGATTATGAACGAGTAGTCTGTCACCTGCTTGTTCAGGGGAGATGATGACCACAGGAAGACTCTGAACCACGGCTTTGGCTGCAGGAGGCGGGAGACGCTGGTCCCAATCCGACAAATCAAATGAACCCGAGTCTATGTCAAGACCCTGCATCAGAGACCTATAGCCGCATAATTGTTAAAAACGGTTGGCAATATCATTACGTTCTCATCCACATAGCTGACAAAAACTATAAATATACTAATACTAATTCATACAAATACTAATTAACTACTATTATGCTAATGCTGTTATTTAACAGCACGTAATTAAGCACATCAACAGTAATATTCAAAAGTTTGGGGTTGTCAATGTTTTTTGAAAATCTCCTTACTCACCAAGGCTGAATTTATTGGATCAAACACAGTAAAAATTGTGAAATATTATTACAGCTTAAAATAACTGTTTTCTGTTTTAATATATTTTCAAATGGAATTTATTTCTGTGATGGCAAAGCTGAATTTTCAGCGGCTTCAGTGTCACACGATTCTTCACAAATCATTATAATATGCTGAATGAAACATTTATTAGTATTAATGTTGTTGAAAACAATGTATGCATGTTCGTAGAAACCGTGATACAACCGTGATTTCATTTTTTCAATCCTATGTAATATTATAAATGACTTTATTGTCACTTTTGATCAATTTCAATCCTTGCTGAACACAAGTATTAATTTCTGTTTTTTTATCTTACTGACCACAGACTTATATGAATGGTAATGTATATATGTACACGGGGCCTAAAATTAACACTCGCCAAGCGCCAAATGAGAGTTAAAATCAGCATTGGCGAGTATATGTAACGGTGTCAGTCCCCAGTTGACGGGTACAAACTTTTACGAATTATAACAATGCAATGAAGTGAAAACAACAGCCAGTTTTTAAAGAGATTCGCTGTTTCTGACATAAGCTACGTGTCAGATCCGCGTCATATGCATCAGGTTTTAAAGAGACAGCGCTGATTTTAAAGTGAAACCTGCTGAAGTCTGTCATTGGTGTAAATCAAAGAACAAAAGAAAAAGAGAAATCCTTGGACTGTTCTGGTCGCTGATTACCTTTTGTAGCTTGAATAAAGATGACTATGTATAGTTTATGCATATATAATATAGTTTATGTGAAGATTGTTTTAAAATCACTTCAATTAAAAGTCGTTATATATTTCAGAGCCTATTAAATGTTAAAAATAATGGCTTTCAATTATACTGTAATGTTGAATGGCTATAATTAATAGGTAAAATTGAGGGGAAATGCACCAGCAGGACAAAATAAAAACATTGTAAATATGTTTAGTCATTGTAGTAGTAATAACAGCCTGTTTTTGCAAAAGGAGTTTCATGGCCGGTAAAAAAAAAAAAAATTTGGGCCAGTAAATTTTATCATGTCACCGGCCATTGACAGGTGTGGCAAAAAGTTAGTTTTAGGCCCTGTATGTGCACTGAAAATAAAGAAACTGTGTAAAGGAAACCCTGGTTAAAGAAACTGCAATATCAATCGGCGAGTTTGAGTTGGTCTAGATGGCAGTGTCGAGCTAGTAGTTACCTGGCAAGCTCCAGCAGGGCGTTCTGTCGGTACTGTTCTTCTGGATTCGTGGGCTCACAGTCATGCTCATCAAAATATGAGGCCATTTTCTACTTCACCTGATAAACACATAAGACCATCTGAATGACATTTAACGGAGTGGTTGTGGAAACCTGAAGGTTCAGGATCGGTTCTAACAATGAATTTGCTAGTTCACTCTCATATAAAAATAACCTGGAGAGCTGAGAGTTTAAGCAACTATCTTTTATAACCAATGTTTATATTTTCGAAACCAATGTTACACTGATCCAACTAAGTGACTGTTTTACAATGATCTTACTATATTTACTACATTTAAACGGCTTATTCAAGAGTAATTGTCAGGTAACAGTTACTCTTTCTCTTCTCAGACTTACTGACAGCCAAAGAGACATCATATTAGTTGGGCATAAAGTAGCGTTAGTGTTTGGATTTGAGCTTTTCACAGATCCAATGGCTTTGAAAAGATACATGCTGCTGACATCGATATCCAATAACTAATACCACTGCTAGCTGGCTAGCAGCATAACAATTCAAAGTTCTAATTTACCAAACATCAATAAATCTAAAAAAGTATGTACTAACCTTATTCGTCTAAATGTGTAAACAAAAAAATTTATAATTAAATAAACGAAATTCGACCTACTGTAAATTCACCCACGGTTATGAAATTGCTAATCATCAGGATGGAAACTTGTTTCACTGCACTGTCAGCGCGAACACAACAACTCTATCGCGATATTTGCGAGAGAACTGGAGTTGCCAGAGTGTGGTTAAAAAAATCCCCCAGCATTGTCATTGTAATTGTTAGTGTTAAATAAGATGTACAGCAGATGTATGTCACTGTTAATTATATAAATGTTTGTTTTTAATTAGAAAACTTAGCAACATATATAGTGTTTATTAAAAAGCTTTGCATTGTGCACAGACAAAAATAAATCTCTTCAAGTTTCTATTCCTGTAGGCAGTTAGTGGGTGTGTGTGGTTGCCATGACACTGAGGACACCAATTTCTGCTGTTCAGACCCGTTTCTAGAGAAAACTTCGAGTGGAAACACATTGACGTAAGTGTAAAAACCTATTTTAAAAACCCGGCCAATGTTTGAGAGTTCTGAAACAAAGCAAAAACTGATTTAATTACTGTTTTCTTCCCAGCAAGAAAGAAAAGGTATTTGTACATTTTTCTGTTAAAATACAACTGTAAATGTACCTAGCTATTAATTAGCATAAGTAAATACACATGTGAAATATGCAGCTTTGCATTATCCTCGTATGAAATCTGTGAAGTGTTGTATTTTATTAGACTTTATGAGGTTCTTTAGGAGTCCCTAGTGTTTGTTGGGGACCCTTTCTGCTGCGTTTCCTAGGCAACCATATACCCAACAACTCCCCCCTTAAAATTGGCAACTTTAATTTAAACGCAAATGCTTTAGATTCCAAAGAGCTAAGTTAGTTTTATATTTCATTCTCACGCAGAAATTAACTTTCTCATTTTAGAACAACGATGGAAAATGAAAGATCTGGAGAAAACACTGATGAGCTGCTCTCTGTAGGTCAGAAACCATCGAAATTTCCCTTTCATGCTTATCCTGTATCTGCTGTAGTACAAACTGCTGTATATCTCTTTTCTTCTCAGATGTGGATGAGGGGGTTGATGTTTACGGGCTTATACCTCTGGCATTGTCCCATGATCACTGTGATGTACTACTGGACGCCATAGACACACAACTGAGTCATCTACAGGTCAAGCACTTACAGTCTGATGAAATTTTGATAAGCATGGCGTATTATTTTTGTCATAGCCAGAGTAGAATTTTGTCCCGATTTTGTATTCCACCAATAGATCCACAGCCAAAGCCGAATGCATGGAGCCTTTCCTTTCTTGGGTAAGCATGAACCATTTTTCTGCAATAATAATCATATCGAATTTTTTGTAGATTTTTTAATGTCCTATTTATTCTTATTTTATCTTATTTATTTATTATTAGTAAATGCAGTTGTTTTCCTAATGTTCTATATGTTCCAGGTTATCTTGATCGGAGTCAGTCTGTAAGTAAAGACACAGGCTTGGGTAGCACTGTTCCAACCAATGATAAAACCCCATCCAACCTTGACAGGATTCAGTCAGGTAGTCCATGCAATTTTTTCCCATATGTAATCGAACATATAACCAAATCATTGTCCAAAGTAGAACAGTTATGAATATTAGGCATAGGCGTAGCTTGACATTTGAGCTCGAACCAAGCCAGTCAATCTGGTCAGTCAAACTCATTTTAGCTTTTCTATAGTACACCTACAAATTTATACTTCATGCACCATTTACGTGATTTTACTATGATTACACTGATCAGCAGCAAGCATGTGAAGATTGTCACTCCAACCAGATAAACTGTATGGAAATTACTTGTATATTTTAGCCACGCTAAACTTAGCAATTATAAATACATTGAAAATAACGCACTATAAACATGTTTGTCAACATAATCTCAAAGTAGACCTTTATTAAGCAAATCAAGGAGTAAATAACCTACTCACTGCTTTAAAACAGACATCTGATTCAAGTCTGCCTAAATGGCAGGCACACAAACACTTTTTTTCTTACAAAATTCCAAAAGAAATGCACAAGATAAATGTTAATTACTTTATGAAATCTTATGTTAGGCCTATTATATTTTTTATTCCATACCCCTACTTTAATTCATGTAATAGTATTTTTTTTTTTATCTATCTCCCCTCTAGTTTAGTTAGTTATTTTATAATTTATGCTGTCTCTACTTTTTGTTAATCTAGTGTTATTATATTTCTTACACTGGCACCCCTCTACTTTCGTTAATTTATGTTAGGCCTATTATATTTTTTATTCCATACCCCTACTTTAATGCATGTAATAGTATTTTTTTTTTATCTATCTCCCCTCTAGTTTAGTTAGTTATTTTATAGCATAATAGAATTGAAACTTTATAGAATCTAAACAGTTTCTTACAGACTGTTTATTGGTGTCTTCTTAAAATCCATCATAATTTCCTCTTCAAAATATCAGAAGGCAAAGATGACAAAACAGAGCATCAGACAATGGAGATGATAAAGTTTGGCGTCACAGCTACAGATGTGTGGCGTCCTGAGAAAAGTGGCAGCTTGAGCTCCGTGTCCAGGGTAGAGCAGTGTTGTTGGAGACTGGAGAGGCTTCTTGGGAGAAATGCTGAGGTGGCAGGGGTGGGAAACGAGGAGGACGACGTCACGATGGACAGCGTCTGCACTGAGGACTTCTCAACACGCTTTGGAGAGGAAATGTTGGTCCTGCCAGCCTCAGGTACTCAAACTTAGTTAGGAGAAGTAAGCAGTTACCTCTAGTCTATTATCTGATCTTGTGTGATAGGTCAGAATGAGGAAAATGATAAAAAAAAACACTGATAAATAGCACCAAAATAATCAGACAGGTGGCAGCAGAGCACTGTAGAAGGTCTGCTTTTATAAATGATTTTCCCATTCATATTTGTGACCCTGGACCCTTTGGAGAGGAAATGTTGGTCCTGCCAGCCTCAGGTACTCAAACTTAGCTAGGAGAAGTAAGCAGTTACCTCTAGTCTATTATCTGATCTTGTGTGATAGGTCAGAATGAGGAAAATGATTTAAAAAAAAAACACTGATAAATAGCACCAAAATAATCAGACAGGTGGCAGCAGAGCACTGTAGAAGGTCTGCTTTTATAAATGATTTTCCCATTCATATTTGTGACCCTGGACCACAAAACCAGTCATAAGGATCAAAAAGGGTTTTTGAAATTGAGATTTATACATCATCTGGAATCTGAATAAATAAGCTTTCCATTGATGTACGGTTTGTTATGATTGGACAATATTTGGCCGAGATACAACTATTTGAAAATCTGAAATCTGAGGGTGCAAAAAAAAAATCTAAATATTGAGAAAATCACCTCTAAAGTTGTCCAAATGAAGTTCTTAGCAATGAATATTACTAATCAAAAATTAAGTTGATATATTTACAGTAGGAAATATATCAAAATATCTTCTTGAAACATGATCTTTACTTAATATCCTAATGATTTTTGGCATAAAAGAAAAATCGATCATTTTGACCCATACATTGTATTTGTCACGGTTGCACTACTGAGTGGAATGCGGAGCAAGGAACGGAGGGAGACGAGGAGTACATAATTAATAATAATTTAATAATATTTTATGCATTTAGCAGACGCTTTTATCCAAAGCGACTTACAGTGCATTCAGGCTATATATTTTTTTACCAGTACATCAATCCAGAGAACTTTAATTATAACAAGGAACAAGGAGAACATATATATATTGTCACGGTTGCACTACTGAGTGGAATGCGGAGCAAGGAACGGAGGGAGACGAGGAGTACATCAATCCAGAGAACTTTAATTATAACAAGGAACAAGGAGAACTCACGTAGCACATGAAGACATAATACCGGACACTGAACTAAAAACAGGGAACACTATTTAAACACATGACAAGACGAGGGGATGACTAGACACCTGGGATCAATGGAAATAAACGAGGGACACCTGGAATTAAATCAACATAATCAGGACAGGAACAGGAAACTAACCAAATATGGGCAAGGAGGGCACATGGGGAGCAAAACACACACAAAACACGGAACAAAGTCTAACAGTATTGTTGGCTATTGCTACATATACCCGTACTACTTATGACTGGTTTTGTGGTCCAGGGTTACTTACAGAAACATGAAGAAAGTTACTAATAAATGGGATATAAATGTAATATTCACTTTTTACTTTCATTTACATTTCTGTATTCCAAAAGGTTTTTTTTTTCAGCGATGCCATAGAAGAACCATTCTGTGTTTCCCAAAGAACATTTCAGAGAACAGTTCTTAAAATAACAGTTTTTTTCATAGCGTGAGGAGCATTTTAATAATCTCAAGAACCTTTTTACCACTATAAAGAACCTTTTGTGCAATGGAAAGATTCTATAAATGTTAAAGGTTCTTCATAGAACAATTAATGCTAATATAGACCCTTTATTTTTAAGAGTATACTTCAGTGATGTGTAGTCAGTGTACAGTATTATATACAGTAGATGTGTAAGAGGAATTTCATGTTTTTAAAGCATGCTTGCCAAATCTTCTAAAAGTCGCCACAGACCTCACTGAGCCCCAGAGGAGCCCTTACCATGAAAGATCTAAGAATGATCCAGAACATCCATGCAGAACACCTTTGAGGCACCTCACAGGTACAGCAGGACCTGTTTTTCTATCTGTATTTCTTAAGATCTGTTATGGTTATATCTCCTTTGTGAATCACTGAAGCAAGACAGAAAACATGCTCAAATAAAACCTTGTCCTCTGATAGGAATCCCCATGCAGAGTTTTGATTCAGTCACCATAGACACTGATCTGGACACAGTGTGCTCAGAACATGTTCGACAGCACCTGAAGTCTGGAAATAGCAACAGGACAAGTACAGGTGTGGGCAACATATTAACTTATGCATGTCAAATGTCATGTGTTCTATTTGTGTGCTGAATGCATGTGTGATTTGCATTTGCATGATTTGCATGCATGCCACAGACACACACTTCGCAAAATATGCCGATAGAGTAAACTCTGACTAGGAATACAATGGCAAATATGGTGTTATCTTTCTTTACATTCCTTGTAAACTACAGCTTAGGGGGTTTATTTGAATTCACTCCTATACATATATTACACAGTGATATCGCATTGTTGTGATGTGCAATGATGCAACTAAATTACACTACTGTTTGGGGGTGGTAAAAAAAAAAAATAGTAATAATTATATTTTTGAAAGAAGTATTTTATGGTCACTAAGTCTGCATTTATTTGATCGAACATACAGTAAAAACAGTAACATTCTGAAATAGTACTACAGTTTAAAATAGCTATTTTCTATTTTTAAATATACTGTAAAATGTGATTTATTTCTGTACGGGCAAAGCTGAATGTCAACAAGGTCACATGATCCTTCAGAAATCATTCTAATATGTTGATTTGGTGCTCAAGAAACATTTCTTATTATTATCAAAGAAAATTTTAGACCTCAAACCTTTGAACAGTAGTGTATATGTCACAGTAATGTTAAAAGTAATGCTTTTTTAGATATTTAATTGGTGCATAATATATGAACTTATCTGGATTTTTTTTTTTAAATGTTTGTCTGTTCTTATGTGTGCCACTATAGCCTTTCATCTGAGCAGAGGAAATGGATGCTGTACAGGACAAACCAGCCCATTTCAAAACGATCTTCAATCCTTCAGGTACTTCTCAACAATTTAACTGGAGTTCAATTTAAGACTGGAGACAATCTTAGGGAGAGCTTATGACAGCTTGGATAATGTGTCCTGTGGTGGTGTTTATTCCATGCTGCTCTTTATCGGTGTGTATACACAGAAATCCGACTTTAGCAGCCTTTGGGCAAAGACCCTCATTACTGCCATGTTTGCGTAGTTTCATTGGAAGTTTTTATGTAGAGATATTATGTGCCCTCCGGTCACTAAAGTTGCATAATCTTTATAAGAAGCAGCACAATATGTTCATAAGAAACATTATGCAAATATTTCTAATTAAAACCATTCCTCGCTATTACTCTGTATGTGTTGTAGCTCTGATGATGAGAGAACTGTTGAGGAGACGAGTAGTGAAGGTGCTGTGTCAAAGCTTGACTGCAGAAGAAGGAGACATTCATCTGGCAGGAAGGGGAAAAGGAGACGTTTATACCGAAGCAAAAGGAATGATTCCCACATTGTAAGAGACCACAATGCATTCTCTAAACAATTACTGTATTAATCAGTGTCAGTAGAGTTAATGGAGATGAATAATTTATCATGTGCAATTATGTTTTGAACTGTTTTCAGAACACAAAGAGAGATTGGGAGAAGAGCAGAGTAGATGGAGATCAACTCAATGAGCTGAGCATGTCACTTATTGAGCTTCAACGGCAAAAAACAGTATGAAAATCACATGATCAATCTGTAATTTCACTTATTTATTCATTCAAAATGTTACTAATCTCATTTATTAAACAAATGTGGTATGATTTCCTCAGGCCACACTTCATATTCTGGAGAAGCTGAGAGAGGAAATGGATCGAGCTAAGAGAGGGCATCTCTCTCTACAGCTCAGTGTGAGGGACAGCAGAGCCCAGGCCCAGAACATCACGTATGTTCTGCTTACAGGAACCTTCACCCCATTTGCTTCAATTGGCACTTGTTCTTAAATTCCATGTTTAATGATCAATGTATATGTGTGTGTCCTAAAGGTGTGAGCTACAAAGACTGCAGGCCCAGAGGAACTTATGCTTGGAGGAGGTCAGGGTTCTGCAGGAGCAACAGGTCACTCTAGTTAAGAAACAAAAATGCAGTGAAACCATGACATCAGCCCTCTTGTATATTAAATGCCTGTTAGTATAAAATACCTGTTAGAGTTTCATTAAACATCTGCATTGTTATTTTTTATCATAAATGAATGAATGAATGAATGTATTGCTATACGTACTGTATGTATGTATGTATGTGTTATTCTCCATGCAGTATGTAGCAAGATAACATATGCACTGCTTTCTAAATCAGTCAGTTGAATGTAAATGAATGTATTATGAATATGCTGCTTGACATTCAGTGTGATTTGATGGTTTTGTTTTTTACTGTCAGTGTGTAAGCCGCAGTGTGTCTGTTCTGGAGAGGGAGGAGATGGACAGACTGCTGGATAATGCCAAATCAGAACTGTTCTCAGAACAGAGGCGTTTCAGACACACACTGGACTCTATGCAGGAGGTAGATCACTTACACACTACACTATTAGACGTGAAACTTTAAGATAATTTTGAATTAAATACATAGCCAAAGTCAATATTGTAGAAAATACCTTGAAAATATTTTCAGACTAATTGTCTGTTTTATTGAATTATTATTTATATTTTAATCTAGTCTTTTAATTGGCCATTTTTGTGTTAGAACAGTTGGTAAAAGGAGAGATGAACAGCCACGAAAGTAGTTCTTTGGGCAAACTTAATGCCCAAATAAAAATTGCATTAATTTGTTGCTTAATTTTATATTGCCAGCAAAATAATCAAAAACATAGATTAATCTCTTTGTCATTGTCTCGCTCAGAGGCTGGATGAGGTGAATCAGGAGCTGGAGCAGAGCGAGGAGGACTGCAGGGCTCTCCGACAGAAATGCACTGAGCTGAAGGAGCAGCTGGCTGATACGATCAGAGAAAAAGAACAAATAAAGGAGGTTCTCACTTTTGTTACTTCTTCTAAATCTACAATAACAATGTTTTCAGCATCTGATACAGTTTGCAGATCAATTTCAGTAAATGTACAACACGTGTGCAGTCTTTACAAAAAGATCTAGAGCAACGAGTGAAGCGTTTTGGCGTGCTGGAGCGAATCGTTGCCCAGAAGGAGCTGCTTTTGCAGGGGACCGAAGAAACAAAGGAAGCCCTTCTTCAGGAGCTCTGTTCACTGAGAGAGGAGCACAGCTTTAAACTGAGAGAAATACAGAGCAAGACAGTAAGATTTTTTAACACTCGTTGCCTTCTCTAGTGCAGCTCAACCAGGTCTCGTCCCATTCGTCGATCTTTGTGATATCACAAATCCCGGAAAATGTGCGTTGTAGTCCAAACGAGTCGTTCGTTGTAGTTTTTGAAAAGTGATTTCTGTTAAACAAAATATCTCCTTTTGAATTGGACTTTGAGCTTTGTTACTTCGCAGATATTTTTTATGCTCAAACAGCAACATTACAGACTAACTAAAGTTGAAAAAGTGAAAAAGCATAATAGGACCCCTTTAACAAATTAATATTTATTTAGCAAGGATGCATTAAATTGATCAAAAGTGTCTTCACTAGAATCCTAAAGAAAGTATCACTGTTTTCACAAAAATATTAAGCAGCACAACTGTTTTTAACATTGCTAATAATAAGAAATATTTCTTTAGCACCAAATCAGCATATTAGAATGATTTCTTAAGGATCATGTAACACTGACGACTGGAGTAATGGCTGCTGACAATTCAGCTTTGCCAATACAGAAATAAATCACATTTTACAATATATTCTGAAAGATTATGTTAATGAAAAACATTTATATGCTGGTTCACCAGCTAGACCAGCATCAAATTATCACTAGTCACCTTAAACCAGTCTGAACAATATGTCTTTTCAGCTGGGCATAGTATTGTTTAATACACGTGATTATCAATCCATTCTCAGGTGCAAGAAATTGAGCAGATCACATTTTACAATATATTCTGAAAGATTATGTTAATGAAAAACATTTATATGCTGGTTCACCAGCTAGACCAGCATCAAATTATCACTAGTCACCTTAAACCAGTCTGAACAATATGTGCTGGTCTTTTCAGCTGGGCATAGTATTGTTTAATACACGTGATTATCAATCCATTCTCAGGTGCAAGAAATTGAGCAACTGATGTTGCAGTTAACCAAAAGCCACAAAGAGGAGCTTCAAAAGGTAATATGGTTTATTTACTGAGAGACTACTGAGAGACAGATTATTCATATACATAACGCCAATCTATTTGGTTTAATGTGTGAATCCAGGTGCATCAGCAGGCGGATGAGTTGAGATCAGCTGCTCTCAGTGACCAGGCTCAGACTCACAAACAGAGCCTGGAGTCCTTGCACAACTGCATCCAGGTCAGCTGTCACATCGTGTGCTCTTTATATCTGACAAGACTGCAGTTCAGTCTTATATACACATTCATTTCTCTCTCTTTCAGATGAAAGATGAGGAGATAAAGAGACTCAAAGAGGCTCTAGAGCAGCATGAAGAGAAGATGAGGAGGCAAGCAGAGGAACTCAAAAGAGAAACTCAGGAAAAGGTTCCCTCCCTGTTTATCTGTTTTACAAGTGCTGATGACAGATTTATCAAGGATGTTTGCCCTCCCATGTTTAAATTCTTGTTCTCTCTAAAGAACCAGTGCATCTCTTGTCATTTGATCTAACAGATTCGAAAGGCTGTGAAACGAGAGGAAAGGAAGTGGGAGGAACAGAGAGATAAGGCTCTTAAAGAGCAGCGTGGGACTCTGGAGCAGCAAATAGAGGAGGCAGTGAGGAGAGGGAAAATGGAAGTGGAGAAGGAGAGAAGGAATGCACTGGCCTTACAGAGTCAAGTGACTGAGCTTCAGAAAGTAAGTGGTATCAGAAGCTGTCTTTTTATTCTTTGCATTTACACTTTTAAGTAAACCAGATGAGAACAGCTATGGTTACATTGAATACATTTATATGAATAAATATTCAATAATAGACAATAAATAGGTCAATCTCACAGAATGACTCAAGAACATGTCAGGGTCATGTGTAAAAAATATAAATATATTATTTTAATTGCATAGTACATTTATGCATGAGTAGACTCCTTTGTCTTCTTTGCAAAGAGATTTTTTGTATCTATATCTATACATCATGGTAGTATTTGATGTATTGATACTCACTGAACTCACGATGCGATACGATACGATTTTCTCATGATTTCAACAAAATTAGATTTAAGACAAATTATAAATGAAAAGGTGTCTTTTTATTGTTGCTTGGACAAAATGCTGCACATTTGTTTGTGAAATTGAAATATGTCAAATAAAACTAAATTGAAATTTTCTAACACAAATAAAAGAAATGTCTTCAAAAAAACAAATTAAGGCTTTGCCTGTGCTCTTTGCATTTAATATTAGAGTAAACTACTGCATTTTAATCATGATCCAAACAAAGATTAGATTGTATAATTTCTAAATTTGAAGTGAAACCAGAATGCTTTGCTTTGTGAAACTATACTACAGAAAAAAATCTGAACGAAACAAAAACAGTAGATGGCAGTTATGGAACGCTTATGGAAAAGCAGAAATACATCATTTTCATGTTTACTGCTGTAAACAAAGCAGCGCTGTGCTTATGAACACTACTTTAATATGCATTATACAGAGGTAAGATGAAAAGAAAATACCATCTAAACTTTTCTAAAGACAGTCACTTCCCCTCCGAGATACATTCATATAAACTCCTTCCCCCAACTGTATCAAGATTTGTTTAACATGTCTCAACCAATTTGAATCGTTTATGCATTAGCAGACACTTTTGTCTTCTTTGCAAAGAGATTTTTTTGTATTTATAGCTATACATCATGGTAGTATATATATGATATATTGCTTCTAGGGACGTAACGATTCACTTAACTCACTGTGCGATTTGTTTTAACAAAATAAGATTTAAGACAAATCTAAGACAATGTCAGAATTCAAAAATCTCAGTGGTTCTAAACATAGGCTTAATTTTATTTATGCAAAATATCATTTCTTTCTGGTTAATTTCAGTTTTTTTGTTACAGGATTCAGAGAAGGAGGTGGTGCGTCTGAAGCAAACTTTGCAGCGGTCTGAAAAAGAGCTTCAGGAGCTGAGGACAGCCCTCTCTGAGAAAGACCAAAAACACAAGAGAAGAACAGCCAGACTTGAGCAGCTGAGCAAACTCTGGGCGCAGGACATACACAGCGAGTGTGTTTGCTTGCAGGAGTTACTTAAACACAGTGGCCTAGCTGCTGAAAACAAGAACTCATCAGACAGGTGTGCTCACTTATTTGTAGTACATACAATATGTTCGTGTAAGAGACTTCTACCTAAGACATTGTGCACTGGTCCTAATGTGGGGAAATGCAAGTTCAAATCCAGCCTGTGTCATACTCTGATTCTGCTCTCTTTCCAAATAATCTTCTATCTCTGTCAATTTACATTGCATTTACACACATTTGTATTAAGCTTCTGTCCAAAGCAACTTACAAATAAGGGACATAAGACTATTTTGCAAACAAATCTAAAAAGCCCAAAACTAAAATAAAGAAAATTAGGTATCGTTCAATTCGGTATGCCGTTCCGATCTTAACTACTCATGTGCCCTCAGGTCATGCTTGTTATAATACATTACCATTTTTATTCCGAATCCACTAAAGCGTTGCGAAGATATAGCCTCATGTCCATTTTTGCGCAAATTTCATCAAATTCGTTAACACGCTTTACGAAAACAGCTTGGTATATCAAAAAGCTTTTGATAACTTTTTGCCAGAATGATCTGAAGGTGATCTGAGGCAATTTTGGTGAAAATTTAACAATTCGTCTAGGAGTTCGAAAAGTAGATTTTTCGGGCAATTCAAAATTGTGAAAAATCCTGACCCATAGAAATGTAAATGTTGGTATATATTTGACTCGGTATGAGCCATGGACACAGAGGAAAAAATTATTTTGCTTTTAGACCTTATGTTTCAAAAGTTATTAGCAGAAACATGAGTGCATATTTGGCCTGTTGGTGGCACTAGAGAGTTTGCATTAGAGACTCCAATTTGCTGTGGTTAATGATGTGACTGTCCTCTATCTGAGTGCCACATTTTTGTCAAATTTGTTAATGACTTTACGAAAACAGTTTTGTATATCATAAGCATAATTTGCTTTTTGGGTTAAAAGAATTTCTTAATATGAAATTCGAAGAGTATGACAATTAGATTAGACTGTACAGAAATTGAAATCTACACGCTAATACACACTATATCCACATAGTCACGTAATGCTGACGTTAACATTAACAATTTGAGAATAAAGTATAACAATAATAATAATTTGCAAGGTTTGATGTGATATGAGCTAATCGATCTTTAGATTAAATCACCATTAGTAGCGCGATTTATTGAAATGCTTTTTTCCTCAGTTGGTCAGAACAAACGTGGCAAAATTGCTACAAATCTTGACCTATAAAGATTTAAATTTTGGTATGCATTCGACTCCGCATGAGCCAAGGAATCAGAGGAAAAATTTGCTCCAAATTTGCAGTGGTTAAAGCTGCAGTCCGTAACTTTTTTTGGTTAAAGATTATCCGAAATCAACATTCGAGCAATACATAACCAGCCAGTGTTCAAAACTATCGCCTTACTTTAGCCCGATTCACAACGGTCAGCTTATAATAATGTTTTCTAATTTGAGTGGTAGATTTATTGAAATGCTTTTTTCCTCAGTTGGTCAGAACAAACGTGGCAGACTTGTTACTTATTTGTTCAGATGACAATATCCGGTGAAAATGCTTATTTGGGTCATATATTCCAAGATGTAGTCTAGAATCTGTGATTGCGAAGTACAGTAAATATCCACACCGGTGTGGTGACTGACTGCCACACATACATCCGCACTGGAGCCGAGCCGCCACACAACCCACGCTAGCTAGATAATTCCGCAAACAGCTGCAATTGCAGGTTTTCAAACAGAGATGGCGACAAAGAGGCAAAACTTACGGACTGCAGCTTTAATATTGAGACTGTGCCAAATTTCATAACTTTCCCTGCAAGTGGTTCTATGGGCTGCCATAGACTCCCAGAGCGGAAGAAGAAAACTAACAGATACAATAGGTGCCTAAGATCCTTCGGTGCTTGGCCCCTAATTAAAATAATAATGATCATATTAAGAATACAAATCTAATAGTAATTTATATAGCATTTTAATTTATAGTCTTTTAAGCTTATACTGTTAGTAACACTATGTTATGTTTTATAACCTGGTATATTTAAATATTTTCTGGTTCAGTCCTACAGTGAGTGAAACTCTTCAGACCCTGCAGTCCCTTACAAAGGCCCTACATCAACATATTAATGATCTAAAAAATGAGCTCAACTCACAGAGACGAGCTGTACTGCAGCTCAGCCGAGAAAAGGTACAAAGTTACAAACAAAATACACATAATCACAGCAACACAGCGCTTATGAGGAGACGCTGCTCGTGTGTTTCAGGAGCAAGAGCTACATCTGCAGAAAAAGCAGCTGATGGAGGAAAAGCAACACGCACTGGCTGCTCTAAAAGAGAAACTCATCCAGGTATACTGCCATTTGCACATACAATATGTACAATTTATTATAATTGTAAAGCAACTAAAACTGTGAACTAAATTTCTTTGGATGTATTAATATCTTGATTTTTGTCTCTGTTTTGTTTACTGCTGTGTGTAGGAGCACATTGAGGAAATGAGCGGCATATCTCGAGCACAGCTGCGCATGAACAATGGTGATACAGATGAACCGTGTGTCCATCTGCGCAGGCAGCTGCGGGCTAAAGATGATGAGCTCAGACAGGTGCAGAACAACATGGCACAGTGGAAAGACAAAACCACTGCAAGACTTGCACACAAATTTGAGCTGGAGAGGTGCGTCATATGCTCAGTTTCAAGTGGAGCTTGAATGCTTATTTTTATTTAACTTTCACAAGTTGAGTGATTAGGCCAGTATTAAAAAAAAACACCACTTTCATGTAGAACAACACTACATTATTAAAACGTCTCATTTCATCTATAGCACCAAGTGAACTGCTCAATAAATAAATGAACGAACTGGCTACCATGGCTCATGATTTTAAATTGTGCAAAAGAACATTAAAATCTTGTTGGAACATCCACCATAACCTTTACTGTATTAAACAGGAGGGTCCCAAAGCCCAGAGCAGAGCAGCAGAAGAGATTGGAGAGACTGGAGAATGAGATGAGACATCTGACTGGGGTAAATGCCAGTTTATTTTTGTATTTATTATGACAAAATTATTAATTATTATATTTATTTAATATTATAGTTTTTATACTTTGAACTAGCTTTTATCTTCATATTTTTAGTTTCATTTTAATTTTAAATGTTAATTTTTTATTCTTTTATTTTTTTAAATAATATTTAGCCTTAATTTTCATACCTGAGCTTAAACTAAGTTTTATTTCACTTAGTTGCCAAGGCAACATTTCATTTCGTCCAACATTTTATATTTTATTTCAATTTCAAATTTCAGCTCTTATTAATAATTTTAATAAATAAGAAAAGGTATACCGCTATCATGCTGCTGGTATAAATGTTAGCATAATTACTCATATTCAGAACAACATCACTTGTATTATATAGCTTAAATACAAACTGAAAACATACTTGAAGCAACATTTGCATGCTTACTCTCTCTGTAATTCTTTATGATTGTAGTAGAACACATAGTAAGTTCATCTCCCTGATTCTCTCTGTTTCTCTGCAGCAATGCCGAGACTACAACGAACCCCAGTCGGCACCCCCTGCTCTTCAGGGTGACACAGACGTCCAAAACTCTCGAGTCACCCAAGACCTGACCTCATTTAAACTTCTGCGGCACCTCCAGAGTCGCATTCTTCAGCTTCGAGCAGAGAGCCAAACCCGCTGCCCCAGCCCGGTGAAGTGGGACAGGGATCCCACAGACCTGGCTGCGTCTTATTTGGACACGGTAAATCAACCAGTCTCAGATTATAAACAAAGTTAACAAAATATTTTACAGTTTTATTTCAGTATTATTTATATATTATAGTTCTTTAAAATATTTTTAATGGTTTTTATAGTTTTATATAGTTTTTTTTTTTATATTTGAATTGGCTTTTATTTTTCAGTTTACATTTTAATTTGTTTAATAGTCAAAAGTTATTGATTTTTTTATATATATATATATTTTAACATTTATGTTTTACTTTATTTCAGTAAATCAAAAATATTTTTTAATAGTTAATTTAAATTTTTTATTTTTTTTTGGCAGATTGCTCCAGCCCAGGACAGCTATAGGACAGAAGATCACTTACTAGCAAAGACCATCTCCAGTTAACATTTACTTTCAGCACTAGAATTTGTTCATAAATTGTTGATTTTATAGGAAAACCATGTGCAAGTAAAAATAATTATTAAAGGGATAGTTCACCCAAAAATTGTCCTTAATTACTCACCCTCATGTTGTTCCAAACCCGTAAGACCTTTGTTCATCTTCAGAACACAAATTAAGGTATTTTTTATTAAATCCGAGCGCTTTCTTACCCTCCATAGACAGCAAGGTTACTACCACGATCAATGCACAGAAAGGTTGTAAGGACATTGTTAAAATAGTCCATGTGACATCAGTGGTTCAACCGTAATGTTATGAAGCTACGAGAATACTTTTTGTGCGCAAGGAAAACAAAAATAACGTCTTTATTCAACAATTCTCTTCCATGTCATTCTCTGCTGCGCGATCACGAGAGTTACCACGATGCATATAAGGTCTTACGGGTTTGGAACAACATGAGGGTGAGTAATTAATGACAGAATTTTCATTTTTGGGTGAACTATCCCTTTAATGCCACCTCTGCAGAGCTCATGAGAGATGTTAATGGTCAGGACAGACAGACAGAGCCCTTCACTGTAAATGAATGTTTCAAATAGGCCTGTTAAAGACCAAAAGATGACTTTTGATATAAAATGAATAATTCTTGTTCTTAGAATTGTGTTTGAGTTTACTTTGAAATAATGAACAGATTTAGTGTGTAGCTAACAGTATTTACAACTGGTCATTTAACTGTTAATTGTTTTTTAATGTGATTTATTATTGTAATTGAACAACATAACTTTAAGCAGACAATTCATGATTTTGTATGAATGTTTTTTTCTGCATAAATAAAATGTCACAAGCAGAGAAGTGTAATGCCAATTGATTTTATTTAAAAACATGTCTGTCATAGTGTGATATAGTCAATATTTAGAAATTTTATATTTTGACATTTGACAAAATGTATAAATTGCAAAAAGTTAAAACAAAATGTCTAAACAATAATTTATGCTAATATTTAAACCACAGGCAAAATGGATTTGCAGCTTATTTTACTGTCGTTTAATAATTGCAGCCAGACTTAGAAGTGCTATTTGTTCTTCAGCTGGAAAAACAGAACCAGGTAATATGAACGACTGAAATCAATAGATTTCGATTTGTATACCCATGCATCTCCACCAACAATCATATTTCTGTTGTGTAGATAGTTAAACCGGTTATAAAGATTAGTGCTGCTGTCTCTGTCTGTCCAGTTCTAGAGCACATGGTGACCCTTCCTAAATCAAGCTCCCATTCATTTCATCAAATTCATCAATCGTTGCTTTCCATAACTATGCCATCTTTAAAAAAAAGAAAAAAAACAATATGGACACCAGTGTTTCCAACAGACTTACACTCTATGTGTGGCGGCACTTCCCCCCGGGGAAATAAATTTTATATATATATACATATAACAACAACAACGAAAATAGAAGCCGGGCTGATTGAAAATGCTAATTCATTTTCTGCCAGCAGGTGGTGCTTTTGGAGCGGCAGATATATAGCGGTTTCCCTGGTAATCGAAGCAGCTCTGTGCTCACAAGCGCTACTTTATCAGGCATTATACGAAAGATGAAATGAAAATGACATTGATGCACTGATCTATAATATATAATCATTATATAGATCAGTGCATCAATGCTTTTCTGAAGACAGTCGGTTCACTTCAGAAACACATTCATATAAAACACCCGTGCCATATTTTGATTTTGAAACGTACAGTGCTCATGTTTATTCAACGAAGTTAAAGCCATTTGGAAAATCTATTTGTGGCAGTCAGTTTTGATATTGTGGCGGGAAAATAAAAGGAGTCTCAGGTTTTGACCAGTTGAATTTCTGCAAAAAAGCAAATATCACGCGTAAATATGGCAGATTGTAACAAATCAAGCGCTCTGAATTTGTACACAGTATACAAGTACACTGAAATAATATTAACTGCTTAAAGAAAAACCTAAAATATTTTGCATTGATAACCAGTAATGTGTTCGAATATTCACAGCTATCAACAGCAAACAGTGGATATGAAGTTGCAACTGCACATTCAACCAATGTACCACTGACCACGTTCACATAGGATACTTCCCATTTAGTCTAGTGCAAATATGGTCCCACCTACAAAAGCAGCACAGGTTGAAACAAAGAATACATGGCACAAGAGAAATCTCATGTGAGCATTTGTGAATGGCTCATTTTGCTCTCCCCTTATGGTAATTCCTCGTTTGCACTGATAAAGTTCAAAGCTTTTTTTCACACACAGGATGCTAAGGGTATTGGTAAAGATTTCCCTCTATAACTCCATGTCTTCCTCTCCAGAGTTGAGGAGCGCAGGGCTGCTGAACAGCGGGCTGAAAGTCTGCTCACTGGGTGCTGTGAACTGGGCTTGGGGTTGTGAACTGGGCTTGGGAGTATGTCTGCTCACTGCCAACTGCTTGCGCTGCTTTTTCTGTAAAGAGTCCTTCAGCCTCTGGGTGAGAGGGTCCTCTGGGGGGCGCCACAACACCAATTCCATACAGGAGCAGCTCCTGCAGAGGTTAGTGAAGGAAGAAGAGCCTGCTAAGCTAGATTTCTTTACAATGAGCTCAGTGCTGTTAGTAGAAGCTGATGTTCTGCTGCTGGTTTGGGAACGTTTCTGCTTCTGTTTGTTTTCATACAATGATGAAAACATTAAGAATCCATGACAGTTTCATATAATCTGCTTTGACTTGCTTCAGTCGTTCAGAATTGGTCATTTAAAACCACAGGAAATCAATTCTATTTACTTTCTCAATAAATGTGCCTCGTCTTATTTAGGCATTTAAAAAGTTCTTTATCAGAATCAGTTCTTTATCAATACATCAAAATTTTTTTGATTTTACATAATTGTTCAAAAGTTTGGGGTCGATACGATTTTTCAAGTGTTTCATGTTTTTGAAAAAGTCTCACATAGGCTGCATTTGTATGATCGAAAATACAGTAAAACAGCCATGTGAAATATCATTGTTATTATTATAAAATAACTTTTGTATTGTAATAGCTGGGGTTTCGATTTTCATTTTCACATGATCGATTAGAAATCATTCTAATATAATGATTTGCTGCTCAGGAAACATTTCAGGACGCCTTGATGGATAGGAAGTTTTTTTGTTGTTATTACCTTTTTATTTAAATAAAAAAAACATTTATTTGAAATATAATTCTTTTGTAACATTATAAATGTATTTTCTGTTCATTTTGATCAATTTAATGCATCCTTGCTGAATAGAAGTACTAATTTCATTACCAACCCCAATGGTAGTACAGGCTTATTCATTAACACTTGAAATTAAGTTTATTTATGAATTTCTTTATCAACTAAAATTTAAATGGATGTGTTGAATCAAAGAGCCAACAAGTGTCAAGCATATACAGAAAGCCGAAAAGAAGATACGCACACTGACTGCGCTACTGTTGTTGTTATTACCTTTTTATTTAAATAAAAAAAACATTTATTTGAAATATAATTCTTTTGTAACATTATAAATGTATTTTCTGTTCATTTTGATCAATTTAATGCATCCTTGCTGAATAGAAGTATTAATTTCATTACCAACCCCAATGGTAGTACAGGCTTATTCATTAACACTTGAAATGAAGTTTATTTATGAATTTCTTTATCAACTAAAATTTAAATGGATGTGTTGAATCAAAGAGCCAACAAGTGTCAAGCATATACAGAAAGCCGAAAAGAAGATACGCACACTGACTGCGCTACTGTTTGGGGTAGAATGTCACCAATCCCCCGCTGTAGCCCCTCTCTTAAGCTGTCGGACATCACCAGCACTGGTCTGCGCTGAGCCGGTTCCACATCAAGCTCTTCTTCATCACTATCATCCTCCAAAGTTATCCTGTACCAAACACACACAATATATCAGGAAGACTGCCTATAAAAATGTAAATTTTTTTAAAGGTAGCATAACATCAGATTGAACTTTCATACATCTCATTTCTGAACAATGACTCTACAAACACAAGCAGAGATACACCCCCAGTTTCACAGATGAGGCTTAAGCCTAGTCCCAGACTAAAATGCATGTCTGGGCTGTTTTAACTGAAAGAAACTCGCACTGACTGATCTTTAAAATATGTCAGTGCCATTGTTTTGTCTCAAGATGCACACCAGTAATGTTACGTCTAAGGCATGTTTATAAAAGATGAAATTAATTGAAATTTAATGACGTCTTCATTTCTGTCTCACCTGTCTTCTATCTCCTGCAGTCTCCTCTGAGTGGCCTCTACCTCCATGCTTGAGCCTTCTGTTGGAACTCTGGGTAGTGGAGATGGAGTGGATGTAAAGGGCAGACCCATTTCTTCTGTCCTGGGTTCAGTGTGCAGTTGAACCGGGCTGGTCTCAGAAGGGGAAGTGGTGATAGACTCCACAGACCATCTTTGGCTCACTTTAGGACTTGGATACTCATCTGCTCCTTCCTCTCCCATCAGCTTTCGCCATTTAGGACTGCAGCTTCTGAAGGGGAAAAAGGTCATGAAAAACCCACTGCAGCACAGAGCAAATCTCACGAGTGGAAACAGTTTACTCACTCATCATCTGTCCTTCTCCTCTGTTTCCTCATGTATCTTCTATCCCAGCTTTTAAGATGAAATGCACAGGCAAATAAGATGAGCAGTCTTCACTTTATTGCATAAATGAGGACTGTGTAAAAGCACCAGACCATAATACTTACGTATTTGGCATAGATCCACCTGTCAGATGACTCAAGTCTCTGGTTGGCCTGCTGATTGTGGCCAAATCAGGGTTACTAAAAGGAGCGAGGGGGGAGAATGTGATTAACTCCAGCTCGCTGCTTCCAGACCTGGTGCTCTGCATCATCCTCCAGCCGAAGATGAGCTGAAAACATCCGAATTAAATAGCAACTGCAGTCACGCAGTGTGAATAGAAGTATAAGGATCTGGAAAACAGAAGAATCAATCAATCAATGGTTCGGGACGTTCAGAACAGGTCATGCAGAGGTTCAGTACAACATGACCTGAGTAATACTAAGGCTAACTCAAAGATTTTATCTTTACCTTCAAAAAAAGATTTATACATAAATGATACATACCTAAATAATGAATGGCTATTG